AGTGGCCAATTCAGCATACATACAAGCTCTACAAATAAACCAAAACGATGTAACCATAATACAATGCAAACGAAAATAACCGCAATGAAACGCAGTTCCGTGACTGAGCATTTTGGCCAAGACAAAATTTCCATGAATGTTGATTAGGTGACAACGATTTAGCTTGAAGAAAAAAAATCGACTTTTTTCAATTTTTTTCCAGACTTAATTTTTATTTTCCGTACTTTTTCAAGGTCTGGAAAGCTAGACTACAAATCTCCACATTTTTTTTTGGAATCCCAGACTCTGCAGGAACCCTGTTAACGTCTGTCTAAGACAGACAGACAGACAGAGACAGACAGACAGACAATCATCTTGAAATGCAAAAAGCGAGAGGGTTACAGGCATGAAGAAAACACAAGAATTGAACGCTTCAAATATTGATTTAGGCGTAGAAAAATACTGTACAGATCTACACTACAGATATCATTTATAGTGATAAGTGCATTACGTATAATTTATTTTGTTTGAAATTTATTGTAGCTGTTTTTCAGTACGTGAATATAGTTTATAACACCGTACAATACTAGTTTATCATGAAACGGAGACACTTCTCTGTGGCGATTACATATATTTTTTAGAGGCTGCAAAATAGTAATATAGAGCAGTCACGTTGTGTTACACTCCACGTGGCCTAGGTACCAGGCGTAGCCTCTCTGTTTACGCCTCCTTCCCAGGCTACGTTACCCGACGTAGAAGAACACTGCGTTGTTGTGTGACGAGTCGCATAACGCTTGTGAATGAGACAGGCAGAAAGGATACCGTAATGAGGTTTCAAACGTCACGATCTGTTCTAGGTTTAGCGCCAACAATTAAGAGGCCTAATATGTTAATGAAAGCATTGAAAAGGTAATATAGTGTTCAAAATTGTAAATGGTTATAATTTTACAAAATTTTTATTTAATCCTAACACGACACCTATGACGTTTCAAAAGCTGCCGAGCATACGAAGAAGAGGAGATGGAACTTATTGAAACACAAATGACTTCTTCCACGATATCACTTGGATCACGCAATGCTCCTCTGTGAGAATCGTCGCGTAACAACCCAGGGTTGCGATGGAGACCATATGTAGCATATATGAAGACTGCTATAGCACATTATTAGGAGATACCTTAGTCTTCATCATTTGCAGACGAGGTTCCATAAATTAGAATTAATTTTAGAGTGCACAAAATTCTAGCCAACTGTTGGACAGACATTAAAATGTCTTGGAGGTTTCAGAACCTTTCCTCAACAACGCCAGGTTTTTGTTTTGCCATTTCTTTCTGCATATTAGCTATCATCTCTTGCATCCGGCGCAACTAAAAAGAGAAGTAGAGATACGCGAATCTAAAACATGTCCAGGAAATAACAACGGTATCACATGAATACACTTGGCAACCTAATAGCCCCCGCGGGGTTGCACACCAACGATTTTCAACGCAAATTTTTTATCCATCAAGGTATCTGTTAGGGTCATACTCTGTTAATGTTGTAGATAAGTCTGGTAGGATGTCTTTAAAATTACTTTACAGATCAAGGCATTTGATGACAATCACAAATGATTTCGTTGAAGTCAAAACAGCCCTTACTTGCACGACTGCAATAGAATGTATCTTTTCAGTAAGGTTCAAATAAAGTTTAACCACGTTCAGATTGGACCCCCTTAAATGTTTAATTCAAATTTTTCCAACTAAAATCCCCGTCCCTTTAACATGAGAGTCCCATCCATTCCTAGTAGCGGACACTCTTGCATTCTCGTTGTCGTAGTTGTAATTGTTTTGTGTGGGATTATTATTCTCTTCCTTGGAAGTGAATGGAAAGGAATGATTTCAAACCAATTCAATACCTCCGCTTCCTTTTCTCTCAACATTCGATCCTTCTCTGAAAGGTCAGAGGCAGCGTCCACATTCTCCCACTCATAATTGCCACTTTTTCGTTTCCTCGAGTAAAGAAAAAAGAAAACGATAATCATCACACAGACCTACTGGTTATATTGAACTCCCGTCCAGGGTTTGTCTCTTAATTAAATAAAGGGAGAATAATAAATAAACGACAATATTTAGAGAGGAAGCCACATCAGCTTTAGCTGGTTTTCACATAGGTCCTCTATCCTGATCGAATCGGAATATGGAGATGTTAGCTTTTGTGGAGGGAGGAAACCTGGAGAACCCGGAGAAAAACCCATGGAACAACGCGAGAACCAACTACAAACTCGACCCACATATGGCACCGGGCCGAATCGAACCCGCGCCACATCAGCGGGAGGCGAGCGCTCTCACCACTGCGTCATCCCTGCTCCCCAAGGAGCAGAGATGCACGCAGGACGTCTCGCCTAGATTGAATGGGTGCCGGCATCATTGCTTCGAAACTGCTCCCCGATAGCTAGGTGGCAAGCACCACTAGGCGTGCCAAAGGGGAGCCTAAAAAAAAAGAGGGTGCGACCAAAAAAAAAGGGAAAAAAAGACACGCTCATTCAAAGTGAAGCTTTCCCAGAGCCGCCTATCCAAAGGTGAACAATGCCTGGATTTCTTGTGCGGCTACTTTTAACTGAGCGTACAAACAAGTTGCCGATAAAGTCGTCAGGCATTTCAGACGCATTTCCCAGTGTTGTGCCACCACTCAACTCAAAACATAAAGGAAAATCCATTCCAGGTTTACCGAGGCATAGTTAATAGAGGGGAATGGTTATGAAACCAGGCAAAGTTCTTTGATGTTTGTTTTTGTTGGCTATTTTGGAGGTTGACCCTGCACAAAACCTGGCAAAATACAAAAGGTGGTTATGTGTGCTCATACAACTAACCAATAGAAGCATTGTGATTATGTAATTCATGCATAGTCTATAAGCATAGAACAAAAGATGTGCGGGGTCAAGGACCTTCCAACGTAAATCTTAGCCTGTTTGTTGCTTCTTTGATGTTTACTGGACTTCTTAACCATTTCCCTCTATTACCTACGATGGAGGTAACTTCCAGGGGATGTCCATACGATTTCTTAGATGTAGAATTTTAGTAAAATGTGGAGTGACCAAATGAAAAAACGCTATGTCAAACGTCGCTATGTGGTTGAGGAGGAGAGGGAGTGGATATTGACAGAATGTATGTATGATGGGTGCATTGTTCCCTTACATAGCTTCTATAGTTTTTCGTGGAGAGGGGGGTCCTTGCCCCTTGCTCGAGAGCCGTTCTGCTCTGTAATTTTCGTAGTGAACTTCCTGTGTGACATCTTTTAAGTCTTGCATGTGAGTCCTGAAAAAAAGAAAAAAAAAGAAGTTAGCTTCGACAATGGTCAGAGTCGTTTAGAAGTGAAACCTGCGACAGAGATAAACTGAGGGATCAAGATAACATCGCTTGATTTGACTTACCTAATCAGCATGTTTCTAAGCTTGATGAAATCGCAATGTTCAGGATTTTCAACTGCAAATTAAGATAAGTAACATTTTATCAAGCAAATCAGATCTCTAGTTGAGTAAATAGATGAGCTATGTTTTGTCATCCACACTGGTATCAGGTCGTTTCGCCCGATGACCCATTCGCCCGAAGACGTTTCGCCCGATTTCCGAGTCGATTCGCCCGAAGAAAAAGTCGATTCGCCTGGACCAAGAGTCGATTCACCCGGACTAAGAGTCGATTCGCCCGGACTAATAAAATCCAGGTTAATC